GGTCCAGTTCTGGGGTATAAATAGACAGACACAGCCCCCGTTGCTGTGTTTGTGTTCTCCTGGATCTAAACTGCACACCCAGGACACTGGACGCCTCGCTCTTCCCCTGGATCGCTGCTCTCCTGGACAGGTAGCTATGATTCCTCCAACATCCTCTTTTACTCCCGTTACTCCCTTTACTTCTACGTTGGTCTCGTATGTGTGCTGTCTCTTGTGTGCTTCTTGTATGTTAGCCGCCTTATTTTCTATCAAATAAAATCAATCTCTATTTTACCTTGGACTGGTTATTTCAAGAGTTCTCTTAACGGAAAGATCCCCGTAAACACCGGTAGCGCATTCTTACTCATTACTCCCCTCTCACCGGCCTTGGTCTCCTTTGCTAATTCCCCCAACTAAAATAGGAGACAGACCCCTTTGGGGGCAACACAATGCAGAGGGAGGCAATGACAAACCATCTCCAAATATCTCTTGCCTTCTTGAAAACCCTAAAGGTAAAGGTTCCCTTGCTCGAAAGCCAGTCGAATCCGACTCTAGGGTTGCGGTGCTCATCTCCGTTTCAAAGCCGAAGAGCCAGCGCTGTCCGAAGACGTTTCCGTGGTCATGTGGCCGGCATGACTAGACACTGAGGCGCATGGAACGCTGTTCCCTTCCCACCGAAGTGGTACCTATTTATCTACTTGCAATTTCTTGCTTTCGAACTGCTAGGTTGGCAGTAGCTGGAACTAGAGATGGGAGCTCACTCCATCATGCGGCACCCGGGTCTCGAACTGCTGAACTACTGACCTTCCACAGCCTGCAGTTCAGCGTCTTAACCACTTGAGCCACCCTACAGGGCACCATAAATCAGCTGTAGCGACACACACCACCCGTCTCCTGAGCAGGCACTCGAGAGGCTTCTGTTCGCCATTCCGAAGCCCAAGAGCTGACCATCCCAAACATCCGCAAGGAATTTTTGAGAGCTAGCAGTCTGCCTTTGTACGTATTTTTACTAACTATAGCGAAAGCATCACTAAATAGTGATCACAAGCTTCAAGAGACTGGATGTTAAGAAACACACTACTCCCCAAAGAAGGTGCCCCCATCCGCCATTGTTTCCAAAGGACTAAAGTCAAACCAGAGAATCTCTGCAGAAGAAACTGGAGGTGGGGGCGGGGTTTGCAAGCCCAGCAGAACCACTGCAATGTACAGAGTATCCAGCAGTGGCAGTGCAATCACAGAGTGCCCAGCAGAACCCAGTGCTATTGTGGCAATGCCAGCTGATGTCAAGCACAGAATCACAGTCCAAGTGGGGTGTGTGGAAGCCCAGCAGAACCAGTGCACTGTACAGTGCCCAGCAAGCCCAGTGCCTTCAGTTTGCTACTATAGTACTCTTAAATACATTCTGTCACCAAGCAGGACAGGGGTGAGATAAGGTTACCATATCTTGAAAAGCAAAAAAGAGGACCAGGGGTCATTTCCTGCGGGACCGCACAGGAGCGGAGCTCCGGCAGTAAGGAGTCCAGAGGGCGGGCACATGCAACAAGCCCCACCCCCTGCTCCCAGAAGCCTTCAGTCAGGCCATGAGGAACAAGAAGCAGCCAGGTAAGTTGCAGAGCCCCCCCCGGCCCGCCTTCAGGTACAAGCTCTCCCTCCTCTGTGAGGACAGATCTGCACGTTCCTCCCCCAAAAGCTAGCAATCCAAAACAGTCCAGTGGAGCCTGACCAGTGGGTGTTGCCTTCTGACACACTTCTGGTGATGTCAGGGGGTGTGGCATATGCAAATATGTTATGCTAATAAATTATGCTAATAAGCTCCTGCACCTCTTTTGCTACAAAATGACCCCTGACTATGACCAGTCTCATTTTAAATAGTATGACGCATGCTAAGTCTCTCAGTTCTCGATTATACTCAGAATTGAACTTTGTTGGTCTCGGAGGTGCAATGGGATCCAAACTTAGTTCTCACATCTGTTTGTCAACTCTTGTATTAATATGCTAATATGCTGTTATTCACAGGTCTTACCAACTGCTTCAATCCAATCTCAACTATCCTTATTGCCCAGTTACTTATGCACCTTGACTCTAACTAGCCCTTCCTAGCAACTAAGCCCCCCTAGCTATATGTAAGGCTTGAGGAAAACTGTTTCAGTATATCTGATGGAACTTATACATGCAATCTTATACCCAGAATTTTTAAATAATTTTTTATTATTTTTTGATTACAAACACTACAAAAACACTACAACACTAACTCTAACCTAAAATAAGCCATACAAGGATCATATATAATGATTAGATGCATATTTAGCTAAAGCTCTCTCTATAAAAAAATAGTTTTTTGAATATAGCTAATTTCTACTGGTTCTATTAAAGTAAAAGGTTCCCTTGCTCGAAAGCCAGTCGAATCTGACTCTAGGGTTGCAGTGCTCATCTCTGTTTCAAAGCCGAAGAGCCAGTGCTGTCCGAAGACATTTCCGTGATCATGTGGCCAGCATGACTAAACACAAAGGCGCATGGAACGCTGTTACCTTCCCACTGAAGTGGTACCTATTTATCTACTTGCAATTTCTTGCTTTCAAACTGCTAGGTTGGCAGGAGCTGGAACTAGAGATGGGAGCTCACTCCGTCATGTGGCACACACTCGGGTCTCGAACTGCTGAACTACCAACCTTCCACAGCCTGTAGTTCAGCATCTTAACCACTTGAGCCACCACAGCTCCTACTGGTTCTATTACAGACTGGTAAATATAAAATTGAATCAAGTAAATACAAACAATAAGACTTTTAGACTTATACAATTCTACTCAATCTGTTTCTTCCCTTTATCTTTCTTCTTTTCATATTTTCATTTGACTTTCAGGACTTTTGGGGCTGCCACCCCTAATTCTGATTCAGAGTCTTCTTCTGGGTTTCTACTCGCTGTTGATTCCGAATCTCCCATCCCATGTGTGCTGCTTTTTTCTTCGATATTTTGTTCCTCTGCTGTATCTTTTTTGTTCGCTGGTTTTTGTTGCTGTTCCAAGAACATCTTCGCTTTTAAAACAGAGTATCTTTTCTTTTTTATCTTTGTAGTGGAAGATCAGTCCTTTGGGTATTATCCATCTGTAGGGGATGCAAGAAACCGGTTAAATTTTTGTATTGAATCCTCTTCTTTCTTATTTCAAATGGAATGTCTTTTAAGACTCTGATTTCTTCGTCTTTGATTTTTAAGGTAGTCCCATTTGTAGTCTACAGCATGATGTCTCTTGTTGATCTTTTAGAGAATCTTGGCACTATCTCCCCCGGCAGGCTCTTTTTCTTAATAAATTCTGGATATTATTTATTTATTATTTATTACTTTCGACTTCTATACTGCTCCATTCCCACAGGCTCGGAGCGGTTTACATTGTAAATTACTTCACCTATCTAAGGCCACAGTATATATATATGGGGGAAGGTGACTGCCTACTGGCACCCAGGCAGCAAGGCTCTGTTGTCGTCGTCTGCTCTTCAAGTGGGCTCTGTTGTTGTTGTTCGGCTTTTCCACCTCCTGGCGTCTCGGTACAGGTCTTTATTACAGCAACTCCTTCTGGCGGTGCAGGTCTTATGTCTGATAAACCAAATCCAAATGTCTGATAGACCAAATGTCCGATAGACCAAATCTTATGTCCGATAGACCAAATCCAGATCGCTTTGCAATGTGTCCGCTGTTAAACCTGTCATTGGGGCCAGTGCTTCACTTAGTATTTCTTTCAGATTCTCATCTTGCTGTTCAGGAACACCTTGAAATCTCAGAACATACGCTGATTTTTCCATTTGTAGTCTTTCGAGTTGATCTTTATCAGAGGATCTTTGTTTTTCCATCACCTCCAGTCTTTGATTAGTCTCTTTTGCTTTGGCTTCAACCTTTTTCACTGATTTTGCAGTCTCCTCTGTTTTTAAGTTCGTCTCTTTAAGCTGTTTTTGGCTCTCATCCAACTTCTTGTTGGTGTTAGTCATCTGCTCCAGCAGAGGGTGTAATGCAGTAGCCAACATGTTCAAGAAGTCAATCTTTACTTCCAGTTTAGTAGCCAGATGTGTTGATCTTGTAGTTCCAGGAGAGTGTCTCGGTCTCGTTGCCATCTTTTCTGCCCGCCATTGTTTATATTTCAAGGAAAGTTTTCAAAAGTCAGCAAAAGTTGCTTCAAAAGTTCACTTTAATTAGATTTGTACTTTGCCTGATTCAATCGACCATCGCCGTTTCTCCTCGCCCCTCTCGCTAAACAATTTTGCTTTAAAAAGTATGGGGGGGGAGATGTGAACTAGCTCCCTCCCCCCTCCGATGCCATTCGGGACTTTGGATATACACTTTGCCAGATAGCCAGTCAGAAAGAAATTTGCACTCACGCTTTGTTCCACACCTGCTGCAGAGGTAGGGAGAGCTTTATTTTCATTGGATCACTTGTTCGCTCACCCAGTGTATGCCTCTTAGTGCCATAATGGCACCGTGGCAATGGGACCTATCGGAGCTTGGAGGTGCCTCAATTCCTTGGCCGCAGCCTCGGGAGAGGCAACCTCCAGTGCCCCAGGCTGGGAGTCCCCTACAAGGACTCCAGCGGTGTGTGTCTGGATCAACCAGCCCCCATCTCATCCGCCGCATCACGGGCCACTCCTTTCAGAGCACCAAAGGAGTGCGCCCGCCATGGAAGTCGCTGAAACCGGAAGTCAGCTTATACCCAGAATTAAACTTTGTTGGTCTTAAAGGTGCCACTGGACTCAAACTTTGTTCTGCTGTTAACCATAGTTTACCATGATACCTTAATGGTTTTAAAGCCATAGTTTACTATGGTATCTAAATGCAGCCTAACTAGTGAGCAGAACACTGTTAATTGGAGAGTTCTAAGATATTCTGTTTTATGACCAAGACATTTGACATTTGACCCATGGGGCCCATACATTACTTTTTCATTTTCTTCCTGAATTGCTGGGGAGAGCGCAAGGTTATCATCAGAGTACTCTTCACTTTGACTTGAGTTTGATCCCTCAAGATAACGAATACTTACCTGTCTGTTAACAGAGAGTCGTGAAATCCATGGCCTTTCATAACTACGCCCAGCAGAGATGGATGATACACTTGTCTGCCTCGAGTCTTGTCTGGTATGTTGTTCTCGCTTCTTCTCAGCCTGCTCTCTAGTTTGCTCTTGTTTTCTCAGGCAAGCCTAAGAGACAAAGCAAACATCGGTCTGAGAGGAGGCACACGCTGGATACAACGAAGGCACACCTGGATCCAGGTGACCCCCTCCCTCCTCTTTTCAAGGCTGTCTGTCGTGGGAAAGTGATCAGATCGCCCTACCTGATATTCTGTATCCATCTTGTGCTGCATCTCCCTCAGGTACTGAGCATCACTGATAAACTTCTGTCTTTCTTTTGCCTCATACATGGCAATGCTTTGGGGGAACCTAGGTATAAAAAACAGATTGTCATGAAATGAGGGCTAATCTCGGGGAATTTTCTTTCTTCAGACTCAGCAGCCAACTGTGATCACTAAGCTCACGTCACCTAAGCCATATCGATGTCATCCTTTCTATTTAAATCAGGAGAAAAAGTTCAGTGTGAAATACTTGGTCAGGTGTCTTACAGTATTTCAAGCCTTAGAGACAGGGCTATTTTGGGGCAGGAAGGCACAGGAATGGAGTTCCGGCTGACTCCCGAGTTGGCCACGCCCAGCAGGAACGCATTAGTATAATAGGCCACACCCAACAGCAGGAACTCATTAGGATTGGGTACATTAGGGGTGTGTGGCCTAACATGCAAAGGAGTTCCTGCTACAAAAAAAGCCCTGGGTGTTGACCACAAACAAGATAAACGGAATAAGCAGCAAAAGGTGGGTGTGGCTGGATAACCACACTTCTGGTAAGATGGGGGTGCGGCCTAATGTGCTAATGAGCTGTGCTGGCAGGGGTGTGGCCTAATATGCTAATGAGTTTCTTGTGTTGGGTGTGGCCTATCATGCTAATGAGTTTCTGGTGTTGGGTGTGGCCTATTATGCTAATGAGTTCCTGCTGGGCTTTTTCTACAAAAAGAGCCCTGCTTAGAGACATGGGATAGACCAAAACCATTTAAAAAGAAATATACCAAAAACTGGTCTTTCAAATAAAAAAAAATCTAACTTTTAATAAAGAACCAAACACTAAATTATCTACAAAAAAGGACACAGGCACATTATTTCCTTAGACTTGGATCCTAATCTCCCTTTCTGCTTGCAGAAGCGGGGGAGGGAGGTTTTTGCTGTTTTTACTGTTGCACTGAAGACTCCCCCCTCCCATTTCAACCTCCATAATATCCCAGGAGGGTTCAATGATCCCCCAAGGGGCATAACGGGGGTGGGGGTGGTAAAGAATGCAGTGGGAAGAACTAGGTGTCAGCAAGCTGCCAAATTTCTTTTCTGTTCTCCATGTATGCGCTTGATTGCTTTCGCTTTCATATGTAGACCTGTTGATGCGCTTAAATGCTTAGCTGCTGGAACGTCTATATCTCTCAAGGCCACAGGTGGTTGCTGCTAGATAGTTGCTTGGGTGATCTCACGAAGAACTGTGGGAAGGAGATATGTTATGCCGCCTAGAAGCGTTTGCTCCCAGGCCCAATGGCGCGCGGGGGAACTCCCGCAATTGGGCCTCAGTTGTTTGAATGTACTGTAACCTGCCATGCATGTTGCTCCCCGCTCATTCCTAACAGTGATCCTGTACATGCACCTATAGCTTCAAATAATAGTAAAACCTTCCTGCAAGAGTGTACTTCATTGATGCTGTGGGGAAGCCTGACACTAGGTGGAAAAGTTGTTATTTATGCAGTATAGCTCCGTTTTCGCTGCATAGAATCCAAGCCTTATTCTTTGACATTTATCCAAGATGGTAGTTTTATATGCTACAAGAAGTTAGGTAAAGGTAAAGGTTCCCTTGCTCGAAAGCCAGTCGAATTCGACTCGAGGGTTGCGGTGCTCATCTCTGTTCCAAAGCCGAAGAGCCAGCGCTGTCCGAAGACGTCTCCGTGGTCATGTGGCCGGCATGACTAAACACCAAGGCGCACGGAACGCTGTTACCTTCCCACCGAAGTGGTACCTATTGATCTACTTGCAATTTCTTGCTTTCGAACGGCTAGGTTGGCAGGAGCTGGAACTAGAGACGGGAGCTCACTCCGTCATGCGGCACACTCGGGTCTCGAACTGCTGAACTACCGACCTTCCACAGCCTGCAGTTCAGCGTCTTAACCACTTGAGCCACCGCTCAAGTTACATGTTGGCTAATTCCAGGATTTAGGTCAGCCAGCATGCTTGTGAATCAATGTCAGCATGTCTGTGAATGAATTACATTTTTATACCAAAGAGAGTATATGAATCAGCAGACGGCTGAAGTGGAAATGTGCAAGACTACTGTTATCTTGAGGAGACGGGCCACTGCTCATTCTAGCCATGGGCGTATTTTACTAATAGGCTCATAGAATCTACCGCTTGCAGCTGTTAGAAAAGCTGTCTTTTAGCCATTATTTTCATGCTTCCGTATGAAGGAGTTATTTGAAAGGGAGTATGACCACCAGGTGTTGCTCATCAGTCTTGGCCAAACATGATACTGCCCAATGAGTAGATATAAAAGGTGGGAGGCAGAAGCAGGGAGCTTCACTGTAAACCAGACTACAGAGAGACTGCTCACTTCAAAAAGGATGTGGACAGACTGGAGCGCGTGCAGAGGAGAGAGCAATGCAGATTATCAGGGGCCTGGAGACCAAACCCTGTGAGGAAAGGCTGATGGACTTGGGAATGTTCAGTCTGGAGAAGAGGAGGTTGAGAGGGGGGTCACAATGGCTCTGTTGAAGTCTTTGAATATCTACTTAGAGGATATTGGGGAAAACCTTTTTACAGTAAGAGTTGTGCCACGGTGGCATCAGCTGCCTAGGGAGGTGGGGAGCTCCCCCTCACTGGCAGTCTTTAAGCAGCGGCTGGACAAACACTTGTCAGGGATGCTCTAGGCTGATCCTGCATTGAGCGGGGGGGGAAGGTTGGAGTAGATGGCCTCTGTGGCCCCTTCCGTGTGATTCTATAATTCTGAGGGCTACCAGGCTCCCTCCCACCAACAGAAGGGAAGTATGTTACTGCCTGCATATTTGTGCTATTTTTTAAATTTCTTTTCTTATATTCAATCACTTTTTATTTAAGAGTATCTGGTCTCCATGAGCTTCTTGACCTGCCCAATCCTGAAGAATTTCTACCTTGGATAGAACAATAGCCCAGCCCACAGCAAACTCCAAATTTGAAACCCCTCCTTGAATTACCATTGCTTAAAGAAAGTCCATGTCTGGATTTGAAGGATTTATAATAAGCTATGTGGCTTCCTGAGTTAACATTCTTTTTTTAGGAGCTTAAAAAACAGGTTGCTTGCCTGTATCTGTTGTTCTCTGAGTGAGCATCTGCACATTCACATGGATGGTATTTGTGGCTGCTCAGAGCCAGGATTCATAAGCTTCTATGGCTTTTAGGTGTGGAGATCTTCTTCCATCAGGTTCACAGCTCAGACCAAGCATGTCCCGAGGGGAGGAGCTGTACCTTTCCACACATTCCCTTCCAAAATGTAAGAGTGCGTTGCAGGATGTCTGTGGTGGAAAAGGTGGAGGGGCTACGTGAGTGCAGAACAAGGGTTCCAGGTAAGCAGCCTGTTTTGACTCCTTTGTGTTCTCTGTGCATCACAGTGATTACTACAAACTAGCAAACTGGCCTCCTTGGAGGCAGGTACAGGTGCTACTGCTCAAACAAAGGAGGTATCATCTCAGGCCCTCACATCAAGGGCTTCAGGCCTGCACCCAGATGTCTGGCCTGTACAACTTTGGTAGAAGTAGTTCAGGCCCATAGTTAACGCGGGGCCCATGGGGCCCGACCTCCCCTCCCCCAATCCTCAGCTCCACCTCCCTCCCACGGCCCCCTCACCCCGATCGATCACTTCTTCCCTCCTCCCCCCCCTCTGCTCTGGATGGCTGGGTTCAAGGTGAAGCCAACCGCAGCCCAGGCAAGTGAGCAGGTGGGCGGCGGCATTTGGCCCTGGGTCCTGCTGGGCCGGGCTGGGTGGGATGAGACCTGGCCCGGCGCTTCTCGCTGGGCGGCACTGAGCAGGTGAGCAGTGGGCCAGGGACTCTGACTCTGGCGGTGAGGCGTTTTGCGCCCACCGCGGGCAGGGCGAGGTGGCAGGGAGGAAGGCAGGGCGCCCCCGGTGGCTTGGGAGTAGTAGCAGCACCACAGTAGCTGAGCCACCCCCATGAGGAAGGCCAGTCGAGGCTGCGGAGGCTGCGGGGGGGGGGCACCGAGCGCTTCTCCCGGCAGGGGGGATGAGAGCAACAATGGGAGGGACCGCTGGCTGGAGGTACCAAGCCATTCCTGTCCCACCTGGGTAACAAAGAGGCCACACGTGGCTGGGGGGGAGGGGACAGCAAACCACTCACCCTGTGCACCTGTTCCTCCTCTCAACCTCTCCGCGCCGACGCACCCCCCGTCCCCGGCCACGACAAAGGCCAGGCAAGCTGAGACCACGGGCACCAACCCAAGGCCGCCGCCCCCTCCTCCCCAGCCTTACACGCTCCTGCCAACAAGGAAGCAACACAAGCTGGGCCGTCGATCCAAGCCACTAAGCAGCGCCTTGCTTCTTCTTCCCGCACCCCCCCCACGCAGAAGACGAAAGGGGCTCAAGGCGATGCTGAATTTTCTTGGATCTTTGAAATTCAAGCTACTTCAGCAGCACCTTGCTTCTTCTCTCCCCCCCCCCCCCCCCCACACAACAAAACCATTAAAATGACAGGCGCTCAAGACGATGCTGAAGTGGCTTGGATCTTTGAGACATATAATGCACTGCACAGACATATAACGGCCCCCCCCCCGAGAAAAACATTGGCCCCCTGAGCAAAAAGTTGTTAGCTATGGGCCTGAGTAGCTCCCTGCAGAAGGCTAACAATCCTTCTGCATTGACAGTAGAATGAGCTTTGTCTGTTGTGAGTGTGGCTTGTAAGTCAGATCATAACAGAGTTCGATAGTATGCGGAATCCTACAACTAAGGGCCTGGCGTGATCTTGTCCATGGGGTCGCGAAGAGTCAGACTCGACTGTGGACTGAACAACAACAACACAACTAAGTATCCAGGAAGAGGAATGTCATCTGTTATGGCCTGAGGACAGAGGAAGAGAGTTCTTCTAAGATCTAAAAAGTGTAGAGTCTGCCCTCCATTTGCAAGAAAAAGGGGTAAATGCAGGGATGATAAGTACTTGATTTAAAAGGAAGTGTGACACCACTTTAGGCAGAGATGGAAAATTAGGACATAAGGACACTTTGTCCCTAAGGAAATGAAGACAAGGAGGGTGAGACTACAAAACACAAAGCCCAGAGACCTCCTGACATAACTGATGGCA